CTCTAGGGTGGATTAACACTAATCTTCTCTAACAACACCTTGGTATACTCAGGGAATCGGCATTGGCCATAAAGTACTGTCCCGGTTTACAGCAGCTTGCGGAAAACAATTACAGAATACAAATCTCACTTTGTGGCCGGGGAAGCCTATGCCTTAGGAATCTTCAACCGTACTATTCGTGTTCCAGATGGGTGAGTAGACAATACCACTAAACATTATAAGTACTTACTCTATGCATTGAACGGTAATACAACGTGGTACACCCAACGTTAATACTGTCCCTCAAGAACTTTGACTATTAGACCACGTACTTGCATCGACAATACGTGTTATGCATCGTGGGATAGACGGGCAACCATACACATGTTGCTCGAAAACTTTGGTATGGCACTAGTCACATGGCACAATACTGGATGTGTAGATGAAATGCTTGGTACCTATGCAACCAACTACAACAGCAACCCGTCCGGTTTATCATCTAAACTGTCAAAGGTGATAGGAAATGTGTGCGACCGTCAAAGTCACGGTACTAATGCATGTAAGGCACTTAGAAGAGTGGACTGTACCACTCAGAGGACTTGGCTAGCTAGAACTATTAATCTATCGGTTTGATCTTGGTTGTATTCTTTTGTGTCATATACATTCCTCTGAGGCATTTACATTCACCCTGCTATTGAGGAATTGGGCCCACCACCACTATATCAGAAGTGTGCGAACCTACTCGAGGTGATCCTGGTAAGATCATCTCATGATGGCAGCACGTGGTGCACGAATATGAAGATGAAATGCTGGGTACCTATGCAACCAACTACAACGGCAACCCATCCGGTTTATAATCTAAACTAAACTGTCATAGGTGATAGGAAATGGTTGTATTCTTTTATGTCATATACATTCACTAATATTTGACTTTCTACCTCAAGACCTCCGCTTTTAAACTATTATAACAACTCCTATGCTTTTCAGAGGTCTTTTACTCAAACAACGTTGGTCTGCAGGGCCGTACGCGCTCTCACACACTACACAAATAAATCTTGTTATCCTACTGATTACTGGCAATTATTCGTACACAAATAACCCTTTGTTCAGGACTTCACTACCGTTGCCACATTCAAACCACTCTCAACCGTGAGACGATTGAGAGCTATGTGACGATACAATTTAAGGGCAAAAAGACGAACACTGTATCACGACAGTATCGGAAATCTATTTTTAACTTGTTCGCCATCTTATTAGCATCCCGCAGAACATCTCTTATCGGACAAAACAAATGTTGCCGTTTGCGTATATTTCCACCTGTTGTGCCCCTGGAACAATCCACGTTTCTCGCTCCGTTATTTAACCTACGGAGTCGTCCAATCACGGAGCCGCAAGTGTCGGTCGGTTTGACGTGACGAAGCATTTGCATGAGTCCTTGATCAAGCCGGGGGAGACAGTTGACGCCGGTTTCACGGACTGGGCAAGGTTATTTAAAAACCGTTGTGCTGTTGGTCGTGTTTATTAACCATACGTGTCGCACCCTCCCGCTCCCTTCCGAATGTACAGCATTTGCTGCCAGCTGTCACGAATGATGGGCGCAATCCTGTTTACCTGAAAATAATTATAATTCGACGCCTATAATTGCGGAACTGTCGCGTGCTAATTGCATGACAGCGCACCACATTACCTCCGTCGCACGAGGTGCCAAAAATCCCCCCGTGCTGAATGTACCCGGACAACATTCAACTGTCACATCAGTCCCTATCAACGCCTACAATGTTGTGTAATTGGTCGATAAAACGCAGCTGGAATTATTGACAGGCGCGCGCAACTGCCTGTAGTGCACCTTCTCCCCGGGTCCCTCCCTTCACCAACAACGCCCCCTCCTCCAAACATAACTAGACGTTTCACTTGTGTTCCAGTCAATCCTTCCTTGTTTAGATCTCTGTCCTGTTAGATCTAGATCTAGAAACGCAGCCCGTTCCCGTCATGGCGCGCAAGCGTAAGGGCCAGTCCCTTAACGACTGCCCAAAGGACCTTAATGAGATCCCTTACATCCGCTGGATAAACCAGCAGTTAGCTAACGGCCGTCATCTGGCCGGCTTATCCGCGGCGCCCGGGCCTGACGGGCAGGGTTCTAGTGCACCGTCACCCAGCGCGGGTCCGTCACGCGTGCGCCGTCAGCCTACAAGAACCACCGCAACAGTCCGGCCCGTGGCGGAGAAAGCAGTTGTCGACGACGACGACGACGATTACAAAGGCGAGGCCGAAGGCACCGACGACGAGGATGACGAGTAGGAAGATCGTGGGATGTCTCCTACATACGATGAGGGCGACGTCGACGACGACGCGGAGGAGAAAGCGCATCCTGTGACTCAGCCGCCGAAACGGATCTCCGCACGCGGCGTAGCCGTTGACAAAGGCAAAGGCAAGGCGGTTGCACTAACGCCTCGACATGAGCCCCGGAAGAAGCGGTCGACTGCCCCAATCGAGAGGGGCATGTGGACGGACAAGGAAAGCACTGTCTTCGCCGCGGCGCGGTGGTTTAACAAAGACAAACTCGAGACCCACAACGGCAAGCAGGGGGCACAATACTGGGTCAGCTTGCATGCTCACATCAAGGAGTCGAACCCGGCTTGGTGCAAGAATGTCAACGCGATGCGGCAGCAGTGGCGCAAGTTGATGGCCGCGTGGGACGAGTATAAACAAGTAGATGTCGGTGAGGGCATCGGTTATGTGGAGAAACCGCCATGGTGGCCATACCTGGAGCTATACAACAAGGACACCGCTGCATCCGCCCCGCATGCAGTGGACGGCGGCACCGCCACGAACGCCTACGTGGACAACGTTCCAAGCTCCTCTCAGCCAGTGACGTCGACACCGACCTTTACAGGTGTGCTCCAGGTGTTTATGTGCATGTGAACCAGTTGGTTACGTAGCCTTTTTGGTAAACATGCGTCAACGAACTGTGTGTGCACATGCATCATGAAACGGTATCCTCACAGAGCTTTGTAGCTACTGGTCATACTAAGTGTGCTTCTTTCCGTCCCGGTTTCAGCGCCACCGCTGCAAACCACTGCTACACCTAAGCGCGCACGGGTGCATGAGACGGCCACAATGCAAGCCGCCCAGCTTGTATGCGCGACCATCAAAGACTGTCACGGGGACGCTATGACGCGCATGGAGGGTCTCGTCTGTGAGTGGATGGCGCAGGATTTGCGCATTGCCCGCGAGAGCATGACTGTATCAACGCCCCAACATGTGCAACGTGAAGCGAATAACGTCGTCACATTACTTCCGCCACGCGGGGAGACTGCATCACCTCCTGATAGACGTGCGCCACACACTGGTGGAGGCGACGTCGGCGTGCATAGCAGCGATGCCGCCGACGTCAACACCGTCTCTCCGGGTGATCACGATGTGGAGATATGGGCGCGCGGCGCCGACGATTAGCGTAAGAGTCTTCTACCGGTCTTTTCCGTCTCTCCATCAGAGCCTGCTGTATCGCCTCCACACACATGTAATCCGCGATGTAATCCGAGATGGGACCCCTTGTCCAAGCAGGGTCACGGTTGCCATGTGCATACTCCTAACGTCAACCATCTTTCCGCAAATGTTGTGCAGGATCACACAACGTGCGGCCCCTGCGAGGATGCGCCATAACCTTTAGTCGTTGCGCCCGTTGGCGATGAGCCATCCACCTCTGCAAGCGCCGATGCACCTTTCAACAATGTTTTGCACAAACTTGCTTTGCCTTTTTAGGCTGTGCAATTGGCTAAAAAACGTCAGATTGAATCGCAAACTAGCGACTCACATGTGTGTGAGGCAACTGGCCTGGTGACTGGGGTTCTTGTTTTTAAACACGATTAGTTTGATTGTACGTTTTAGTGTTGCAGATTCGTGATCGGTCAACGCAGTGTCTGACCCTATGTCGTTAATTCGTCAATATTAATTTCGTTCCGAACCACCATCCAATTGGGTTTCCGATAAACTGTATCGACGTGACAGTGGTGTTTAGCAGTTAAACGCACTGTAGATCACGACATCGGAATCCTAAACATTCGTTAGCACGGATTGCACCCTTAAAAAATGAATTTTTTTGAAAGTGTGTAACACTTTCTAAAAATGTGTATTTTGAAAGCGAAGCTGCTTGTAATGCAGCAATGGCAACGGCGAAGTGCTAGACGCTCTTCGCCAACTATATAGCAGGGGGTGGAGGCCATTTGGCCTCCACCCACGACTTCGTTTGAAATTTCAAATGTCTTATTTCATTCTCGTCCGACGACTTCCCGTTCTCCTCAGTCGCTCACTTCTCTCTTAAAATAGTAGGCATTAACTAGATTGACATAGCACAACACACGTTTCAGAAATGTCTTGCGGGTACACCCGTCCGCACGATAGGCGCGCACGTCGAGGCTAATAAAGCGACAGCGCCACTGGCGCACGTGGCGACGAAATCGCCACAGGCGCGCGTGGCGACGAAATCGCCACAGGCGCGCGTGGCGACGAAATCGCCACAGGCGCGCGTGGCGACGAAATCGCCACAGGCGCGCGTGGCGACGAAACCGCCACAGGCGCGCGTGGCGACGAAATCGCCACAGGCGCGCGTGGTGAAATCGCCAGTGGCGCACGTGGAGTCAAAATCGCCAGCGGCGCAAGTGGCGCCAGTGGCGCTCATGGCGCCGAAATGGTCAACATCGCCACTGCCGCATGTGGCTACGAAATCGCCAGTGGCGTGCAAGAACCCAAGGGCGCGTCCAGCGGAAGTCGGTACCAGCAGGCATGATGGCGAAATCTCCAGAAGGCGAGATTCCAGTGGCGCGCCAGAGACAAACTGGCGGCAGATGCGCTTCTGATGTTGAAATTTGCCAACGAATAAATTATTACTTTGCATATGTTCCCACCTCTTCTTCATTCCTATCTTCGATTCTTGTTCGTCTGCGTTTTTCTCTCATGCTATTTCTTATTTTTTATCGCAGTAAATCGGTGCAAGTCAATCACCTTTGGGTCGCCATGAGAGACTACCGGCGAAGAAAGACTGCGGCAAAACATTTGGCACAACCCATGCGCTCCCGTGGGAGATTGGGACCGGGGGCCTCGCGCCAGCCGGAAACGGACCTGTGGGTCCTGTGCGGTGCTGGCCAGCGAGCTCCCCAGGGGGGAGAAGGACCGGTGGGTCCTGTGCGGTGCTGGCCAGCGAGCTCCCCAGGGGGACCGGTGGGTCCTGTGCGGTGCTGGCCAGCGAGCTCCCCAGGGGGGAGGAGGACCGGTGGGTCCTGTGCGGTGCTGGCCAGCGAGCTCACCAGGGGGGAGGAGGCCCGGTGGGTCCTGTGCGGTGCTGGCCAGCGAGCTCCCCAGGGGGGAGGAGGACCGGTGGGTCCTGTGCGGTGCTGGCCAGCGAGCTCACCAGGGGGGAGGAGGCCCGGTGGGTCCTGTGCGGTGCTGGCCAACGAGCTCCCCAGGGGGGAGGAGGACCGGTGGGTCCTGTGCGGTGCTGGCCAGCGAGCTCCCCAGGGGGGAGGAGGACCGGTGGGTCCTGTGCGGTGCTGGCCAGCGAGCTCACCAGGGGGGAGGAGGCCCGGTGGGTCCTGTGCGGTGCTGGCCAGCGAGCTCCCCAGGGGGGAGGAGGACCGGTGGGTCCTGTGCGGTGCTGGCCAGCAAGCTCCCCAGGGGGGAGGAGGACCGGTGGGTCCTGTGCGGTGCTGGCCAGCGAGCTCCCCAGGGGGGAGGAGGACCGGTGGGTCCCTTTCTGGCTCGTGAGTTTAGTTATATATTGGTCAAATACCAGGGCTAAAGCCCAAAGTGCAAGGTTTGGACGCGATCACATTTGAGTTGGCTGGTTGAACAAAATTTTGGTGAGTTTGAAATGGTGCACAACTATAGCAGATGAGTAAGAATACCAAGGGCTTAAACCTTGACAGATTTACCGTACCCGGATACAAGTTGCATGCACGCTTCGTAATGTGAGCACGGTTGTGACCGCAACAAGGGTTGGGCTCCTACAAGCATCACATCCATCATTACACAGAATACTAACGCCCGCTGCCCGTGTCCTCCCATACTGCTTGCGAGTTCGTGTCCGAAGCTCACGTGTGAGCCAACGCTTATAAGTAACCACTACTGTGCTACACTCACTTAGGGCGACACTCCAATGCAACAGCAGAGAATACTGCACCTCGATCAACATCGGTGCCAGCCTTCTTCTTCGCGCATGATTGGAACTCCACCGACATGTCGTCGCATAAACCATCAACAACCTTTACCGTCTCCGCAGCATCTCCCCGTCTCATGTCTCAGAAGACCCATTTGAAACGAAGCTCGTTGCCATTGCAAACACAAGAAAGCAAGCTTTCTAAATATGAAATTTTTTGAAAGTGTGTAACACTTTCTAAAAATGTGTATTTTGAAAGCGAAGCTGCTTGTTGTCAGAATGTTGTATTTGTCTAGCCTGCAGTGGGGTACTCTATAGCGAGTACAGCCCAATCTAGGGTTTCCTATATGTACTCAACTGCTTGCTAGTGAACCTCCTCCTTTCTTCATTCTTACTTTCTACTGCTAGTTCTGACACTTGTAATGCAGCAATGGCAACAGCGAAGTGCTAGACGCTCTTCGCCAACTATATAGCAGGGGGTGGAGGCCATTTGGCCTCCACCCACGTCTTCGTTTGAAATTTCAAATGTCTTATTTCCCACCCACCCACCCTAGCAAAAATTGCATGTTGTCATGTGTAATGTAGGTACCATATATATCCCGGACGAGAATGATGTAATGCCCATTTGAAACGAAGCTCGTTGCCATTGCAAACACAAGAAAGCAAGCTTTCTAAATACATATGGACTAAACGCAATCTCGCGACTAACATGTGTTCGAGGCAATTGGCCGGGTGACAGGGGCGCATGTTTTTTAGCACGATGAGTGCGTTTTGAGAACGTGTAGTTGTTTTTGATACTACGCGAGCGCGAGTGGTTGTTTACCAGAGGAGCAATCCACGTGTTCAACCCTATTTGGTGGATTCGTCACAGTTTACTTCGTTCAAAAACACAAACCAATCGGGTTGACGATTACACATCGTGAGCTGTCACTGTTTTTTAGCATTTCGAGCACCTAGAGATCGATACGTCAGGAGTCCTGAAACCCTGCGTACACAGGTTGGCTGGTCAACAACGGCCGAACCAATCGCAATTTCGAGACTAACATCTATGGACGGCAACTGGGATTGCGACTGTAGGGGGGTTGTTAGATGTATCCCGAAACCCTAGTTCTAAACATTTTGGCGCCTACAAAAGTGGGCAAAGTAGCTGATGAATTACACATGGAAGCTACATTGATTATTCTCGACGGCCACTGTACTAAGGGTCGACTATGCAGCTCAGTGCACCAAGTCTAGTACGATTACCATCTGCTTAAATCCGGCTAAACTCACCCTACCGTGTGGTACACACCTCCCGCAGCCCTGTCGGATCCATACTTCTGGGTGCAGGTAGCTGAGTTGTGGTTAGGCCCCAAGCAGGTTCTGCAGCGATAGTTCGCCGGCGGAGCATCCCTGCGCCTGTAGGAAGGGGGACGGCCAGGACCCCTACGAGTGAATGTAGGTGCGTCACACACTCACTGAGGCACAGGTGTTGTCTGTGCCATCAGGGTGTCGATGCAGGTCCCGGGAATGGTGTGGGAGTATGTGCGGCGGAGGTTGACTGTGGTGTAGTAGTCGCTAACATACTCCCACCCGTTCTTGTTTGCCCAGGGGAAAAACGCCATGGCATGTGCGCACGGAAAAGCGTACTCTTTCCAATTGCCGCACTCACAGCTACCCTCGCCACGTAGGTCGACGTTGTAGCTGCGTGGGGTAGGGTCCGTCGCGTTGCCGTTGTTTATCACCTCTGCGAAGAACTCGATGTTGGAGATTTTCACCTCGTAGTTCTTTGCCCGCTCGCACTTCTCCTCATACCATTTTCTCCCCCACTCCGTAAAGTAGTCATCCTGGGCTCTAGCCTCCTCACGCCGCTCATGAAACTTCTTGACGTTGTAGACCCACATTGATGCTAACAGATACGCGGGTGGCAAGCGCCGGATGGATTTTACGGCCCCGTTGGTCGACTCCGCCATGTTGCTCGTGTAGATGCCGAATCTTCTCGTTGGTGCCGCACATCGAGCCCACTGCTTCTCGTACACCCAGATTCTGTTCCTGCGTGCAGTGTAATCACCGCGAAGGCCTGTTCGGACCCGCACACCATCCTCACCGTCCTCCAAAGAGTCCTCTTCCACGACGGTCGCCTCGTCCTCTACAACGCTAGGCCTCTCCTTGTTGGTGTTCCCAAGCGCCGTTCCCGGGTCCACGGTGGGAGGAGGAGGGACACGGGTTGCTGCTGTGAATCAAGAAAACAGGAATGAAATGACTAAGTGAAAGTTGGGTACAAAAGGCAAACCCTAGGCAACTGTACCCCATATGTGCTACCCCACTATAGCCTACAGTAGCTATGTCATATAACTTTGACACACCCCCATAGGCAAAGTGGGGGAGAACAAGGGGTCACAAGACCAGTCAAGCAAAGCAAAACAAGCTCAGGGTGGATCACAAAGTCACCACACATTCCGAGCACAAGTTCAAGGCCACAAGGCCAGTTCACATGCAGGATTACATATATACATAAGGCTAGACAAGCAAGAGCAGGAGTATATATATATGCAACAGTACAAACAAGGTCAAGAGGTGAGCAAGTGAGGCAAGGTAGGTACAAGACCCAGCTGAGTACAGAAGCGCTGATGATCACAAGGCGCAAGTGCCTTGGTGAAGATATCAGCAGTGTTGGCCTCAGAGGCCACGTACGCAAGTCGCAGCTGACCACGCTGCTGTAGCTCACGAGCAAGGAAGTAGCGAAGAGCAATGTGCTTCGTTCTGTGCTCCAGTCTCTGCTCTCGACACAAGGCCAGCATGGCCTTGTTGTCTACGTAGAGCACTGGAGGAGAACGAGGCGGCTCTCCGAGGTCAGTCAGCAGGTAGGTGAGCCAGCGAAGCTCCTATGCAGCCATGGCCCCGGCGTAGATCTCAGCCTCACAACTGGAGCCGAGAACAGAAGACGAGCGAGTAGCCCGCCACGAAACAGAGCCGGAACCAAGGCTGAAGGTGTAACCCTGTGACGACCGCTGCGTAGCCTGGTCGTCAGCCCAAGAAGCGTCTGCGTGTCCAGTGAGGACCACTGGACTCTGCTCTCCAAGCACAAGCCCCATGCCCGACGTACTGCACAAGTAGCGCAACACCCTCTTCGCTGCAGCCATGTGCTCCGGTCTGTGTCTCCCAGGAGCAACATAGCGTGCAAGAATGCTAAGAGAGTATGCAAGGTCAGGTCGTGTGCAGGTCATCAGGTACATGAGGCAGCCAACAAGCTCTGGGTACGGGCCACTCGACTCTACGGACTCATCTGAAGGCAGAGCTGAGAGCGAGTGGCGAGTAGGCAGAGGAGTGGCCTGAGGCGAGGAGTACGTGAAGCCGAAGCGCTGAAGGACCTGCTGCACCATGTGTGACTGAGTCAGGGTAATGGTGCGGCGTGCTCTGTCCCGGGTGATCTGCAAGCCAAGGTAGCTGCGCAGTTCACCCATGTCTGTGCACGTGTGTCTCTTCTGCAGCTCGGACTTCACGTGGGCGAGTCCAGCAGTGTCATCTGTGGCAAAGACCAAGTCGTCGACGTACACGAGGATGTAGAACGGCTGCAAAGAAGTGTCGGTGCGCAGAAACAGCGACGGGTCGGCAGTAGAGGGAGCAAACCCAAGAGCCGCAAGTGTAGTCCTCAGTGTGTCGTGCCACTCACGCGGTGCCTGGCGGAGACCGTAGACTGGCCGCCGGAGGCTCCACTGGGTGCCAGGAGGAAAAGACCCAGTGAAGCCAGGTGGGCGACGCAGCCAGATCTCCTCGTGCAGGCTGCCCTGCAAGAAAGCAGTGCTGAAGTCAAGAGAGTGCAGCTCGTAGTCGCGGTGAGCAGCTATGTGCAGCAGTACCCGAAGAGTGGTCATCTTCGGGGTGGGAGAGAAGGTCTGAAAGTAGTCAACTCCCTGCCGCTGACTGAAGCCACGAGCCACGTAACGCGCCTTGAAGACAGGCGGAGAACCCGGCGGCCGCTTCACCCTGAAAATCCACATGCCACTGACGATGTTCGCCCCAGGCGGAGGAACCTCGTCAACGTAGGTGCCTGTGGACTTCCAGGAAGCCATCTCTGCGTCCATAGCTGCCTGCCACTGAGAGGAGTAGGGACCCTCTATCGCCTCCGCGTAAGAGCGCGGAGTCGGGATGTCAAGTGCATCCGGGTCTCCCTCAGGGGTAAGCAGTACGGACACGAGATGAGGTGAAGCAGCAGCCAAACACTGGAACTCCTCCTGCCTGTCCTCAAGGACGTCCGTGCCAAGGGCACACTCACCCCCGACGGACGGAGGACAGACAGACTCAGACTCAGCAACAAGACTAGCAGCGTAGTCTAGACGACAGCGAGCAGCAAAGTCGACGAGCTCAGTAACTAGGGCAGACGCAGCAGTGGACTCAAAGGAAGGGTCAGTGACAACAGTAGCAAGGAGACGCGTGACAGTAGGACTGGCAGCACGAAGAGAGTCCGACTCCGGGTCAGGAAGAGCAGGAAGAGAGGACTCAGGAGGAGAAGGCAAAGGGGCACGCAGAGGAGCAGTGGACGGACGCAGAGACATCCGGTGCGTGCCAGGGACAGGAGGAGGACGCTGACGCGAACCACGAGCACTAGTGCGAGCAGCACGGACAGGCGACGCAGGGCGAGACGCAGGCTCACGACGCTCAGCAAGACCTCCAGTAGGACCAGTGTAGGGAGAAGGAGCGGGCAGTGGGGAGGCCGGCTGTAACTGTAACTGTGACGGGACAGGCTGTGGACACGCTAAGGGAGGAGGAGGACCAGTAGAAGGCGGGAGACCAAGAACCTGCTGAAGGAGCGGAACGAAGTACGGCCGAGGCCGCGCGGCGACTCCAGACACAGCAGGGACAGCACCAGTACCCCCAGCGGCAGCACCAGCGCCAGCAGCACCTCCAGCTCCAGTACCTCCAGCAGCACCAGTAGCACCCCCAGCAGGACCGCCTCCAGGACCGACAGCAGTAGCCTCAGCGCCAACACCCTCAGCAGCTCCAGCTCCAGTCGTACCCGCAGGCCCAGCAGCTCCAGTACTCCCAGTACGAGCACCTCCGGGACCCGCGGCACCAGCACCCTCAGCAGCCGAAGAACCTCCAGCTCCAGCAGCACGCCTCCAGCGCCGGGCAAACCACTCGCGCAGCTCCTGTGGAGAGAGTGGCTCCCGCCGAGACGAAACACCCGGAGAACCTCCAGGCTCAGCACCGCCAGACGCCACACGAGCAGGCCCAGCTCCCTCAGGCTCCGCACCCCCAGGCTCAGCACCTCCAGGCGTAGCACCCCCAGGCGTAGCACTCCCAGGCTCAGCACCCCCAGGCTCAGCACCCCCAGTAGTAGCACCCCCAGGCTCAGCACCCTCAGGCTCAGCACCCCCAGTAGTAGCACCCTCAGGCTCAGCACCCCCAGGCGTAGCACCCACACGCTCAGCACCCCCAGAGTCAGCACCCCCAGGCTCAGCACCCTCAGCAGCACCAGAGTCACCAGTAACCTCGACAGGCTCGACTGCGTCTACCTGGGACACACCTGAAGGGGCAGGACCCTGAGGGGGGAGGGGGTCTACCGGGGGGGGACCTGGGACAAGGAAGAGCGGTGGCGGGGGGAGGGACGGAGTGCGGTAGGGGAAGAGGCGGTAGTAGGGAACCGACTCGTCAAACGTGACGTCCTGGGAGGACAGGACACGGCGAGAGGTGGGGTGGTAGAACTGCCACCCTGGCGCGTCAGGGGGGAAGCCAAGGAAGATGCAAGGAGCAGCACGAGGGGACAGCTTGTCCGCAGACAAGTCGCGGACAAACGCCCGAGATCCCCAGACACGGAACGCAGACGCATCGCCAACCTTCCCCGTCCACAGCAAAGCTGGGGAGGTCTCCGGCATGGAGACCCTGGGGTGAAGGTTGATCTGATGCGCCGCGTACCGAACCGCAAACGGCCACAGAAAATGGGGGGCAGCCGCATGCATCATGGACGTACGGGCGACGTCCATGACCATGCCAATGCGGCGCTCAGCAATCCCATTTTGCTGTGGAGAGTCCGGAAGCGTGAAGGTCTAGCGGATGCCTCGTGTACGACAGTAGGCTCGCAGAAGGCCAGAGGAGAACTCTCCACCTCTGTCAGAGTGCAGACGCTGAACAGGAAAGTCCGAGCCGAAGCTCTGCCTGAGCTGGAGACGAGTTGCGCGGATCCAGTCGATCAACACCTCAGTGACATCACCCTTGCTGCGCAAGGGGAAGACTGTGGTGTAACGCGAGTAGTCGTCAACCACCAGCAGGAAGTAGCGCTCGTGACCCTGTCCACGGACGCGGGCCGGGCCCCACACGTCCATGTGAAGCGTCTGCAGCGGGGCCTCTGTCGGAGGAAACTGGGAGGAGTGAGGGGCAGCCCGCTGCCGCCCCTCGACACAGGGGACGCAGGTAGGGCCAGGCCCCGGAGGAAGGGGAGGGAGGGACCGGGGAAGACCAGAGACAAGGACACGGGAGGCCATGCTTCGGAGATGAAGCAGGGAGGGGTGACCAAGGCGGTGGTGCCAGAGGAGAGTCTCGTGAGACAGGAGGCGACACGAACAGGGGGCAGACTCAGGACCAGACCTGGACGCTGCAGCAAACACCTGACCCGACGCAGCTACCTGACCAGACGCAGTGACTGGAGGAGACGCAGTGGTCAGGGTGTACAGGCTCGACCCCGGCCGACGGGTAAACGTGGCCAGGTGTCGGCCTGTCCGAGCGTCCGTGCAGTGGGTCACCCGCCGACTCGCAGGAGTGAACTGGTGAACCCCCGCATCCTGTAGGTCAGCACCACTCACCAAGTTCGTAGAGAACGAGGGAATGTAAAGACCAGACAGGGTGCCAGAGGGGGCCGCCGGACACGGGAGGACAGTGGAGAAGTGAGCAAGGACAGGACCCCCAGAGGGGTCTGCCAGAGAGACTGCAACTGGCCGGCTAAGCGGCGTGAGTGTGGTGCGGTCTCGAAAGAAGGAGCGAGAAGCCCCCGAGTCAAGGGTGAAGGTGTGGGAGGCCGAAGCCGACGCAGAACCTGAGAGAGCAGACTCACCAGCACCTGAGGGAGCAGACGCACCTAGAGCAGCAGCCTCGCTAGCACCTAGAGCAGCAGCCTCACCAGTACCTAGAGCAGCAGTCTCAATGCCCGGGTCGGGCGGAAAACACCGGTAACAGTCACCCTCATCACTAATAGTCACAGTATACATGGCAGCAAGAATAGCATCAAAGTCAAGGTCAAAGACAGCCACACCTGCCCTAGACAGCTCACCCCAGCGGGGGATCTCAGTGGCCTCAGGGAACTGGTGACGCCAAGCGTCCGTCAGGCGGCCAAAGCAGCGCTGGGTGGAGTGCGCACCCCCGCACTGCTCACCCGCGCGGTCGCCGGTGCGGAGGACGTAGGTGCACGGACCAGTACCCCCACCCCTCTGGCGTGCAGTGTACCACTCACGGAGCTGCTGAGGGGAGGGGATGTCACGAGTGCGCTGCTGGTGCTGCTGCTGCTGCTGGCGCTGACCACCACCGGAGCCGACCCTCTGCGCAGCGCCACCCCGACCAGCTCCACCTCCTCCGCCGCCTCCTCCTCCACCGCCGCCACCTCCGCTCCCTCCGCCACCGCCGCTGCCGCCTCCGCCTCCACTGCCGCCACCGACACCTCCACCCCCGCCACCACCCCCACCGCCACCCCCACCTCCTCCACCGCCTCCACTGCCGCCTCCACCGCCCCCGCTAGCTCCTCCAGGGCCCCTGCCCCCCTTGCCCTTGCCAGGGCGGCGTCTCCCGCTAGGGGTAGACGCCGCACCGACCGACTCAAGCCCAACGAGGTCGGCCGCAGCAGCAGAGGCAACAGAGGGCAAAAGGGGGGAGGGGGAACACCCCTCAAAGATGGGGGTGCGAGGGTCACCACGAGAGGCTCCTACAGCTACTATGCTCTTCTCTGCTGCTAGGAGGGACTTCTCGAGGAGGTCAACGGTGAGAGTGGTGGGGCAAACTGAGAGGAAGTGGTCCCTGACTACGCGAAGGGAGTCAGGGAGCCGGGTGACTATGTAGTAGAGGGTGATGTACATGGGGGGGGGGTTCTTGGCGCAGAACTCAGCAGGAAGCGCAGCGCGGTAGCGAGTGTCACTAGTGCGTAGGTGCGTAATGAGGTCAGCGACTGTGGGAAAGGCAGCAAGGTCAGGGAAGAGGTACGGTAGCATGAGGCGACTCAGTGCAGCAGTGGCAGGGGAGGAGTAGCGTGCAACTACAGCGTCGTACAAGGTCTGAGCACTCTTGTACTGACTAAAGTGCGCACGCTCAGAGGTAGGCAGGTGGCGACGCACAGCAAGACGTGCAGCAGCATCGCGCGTGGCCCACTGGGAGCGAACAGTTGCGTCAGCATCAGTGGCGGGGGCAGGAGAGGCACCAGAAGTGAGGTCAAAGAGGGAGAGGCCGTCTGCCCTATCGCACTGTAAGAAAAGCTGCAGGTCATCTATCCAGACGTCAAAGTCAATGGCCCGACCCTCAGCGTCAAAAGCGAGGACACTAGGGGTAGCCATGACAGCAGTAGACTAGCAGCGCAATCAGTGGGGTGAGGGCAGTGCTGTGAGAGAGGCGCTGCTCTTACCGGACAGGGCGGCTCGGGCGGCTCGGCTGCAGGGCGGCTCGGCGACTCGGCTGCTGGGCGGCTCGGCTGCTGGGCGGCTCGGCGGCTGGGCGGCTCAGCGGCTCGGCTGCTGGGCGGCTCGGCGGCTCTGCTGCTGGGCGGCTCGGCTGCTGGGCGGCTCGGCGGCTCGGCTGCTGGGCGGCTCGGTGGCTCAGCTGCTGGGCGGCTAGGCTGCTGGGCGGCTCGGCGGGGCCGCTGAGAGGGCGGCGTCCGGGGCCGCTGGGAGGAGGCGGCGGGGCCGCTGAGAGGAGGCGGCGTGGCTGGAAAGGTAGGTGGCGGGGCCGCGTCAGGGGCCGCGACAGGGGCCGCGTCAGGGGCCGCGGCAGGGGCCGCGTCAGGGGCCGCGGCAGGGCCGCGTCAGGGCGCCGCGTCAAGGGCCGCGTCAGGGCGCCGCCAGGGGCCGCGGCAGGGCCGCGTCAGGGCCGCGGAAGGGGCCGCGGCAGGGGCCGCGTCAGGGGCCGCGTCAGGGCCGCGTCAGGGCCGCGGCAGAGCCGCGTCAGGGCCGCGTCAGGGGCCGCTTCAGGGCCGCGGCAGGGGCCGGAGCAGGCCGCGTCAGGGCCGCGTCAGGGGCCGCGGCAGGGCCGCGTCAGGGCCGCAGCAGGGGCCGCGTCAGGGCGCCAAGTCAGGGGCCGCGTCAGGGCGCCGCCAGGGGCCGCGGCAGGGCCGCGTCAGGGCCGCGTCAGGGCCGCGGCAGAGCCGCGTCAGGGCCGCGTCAGGGGCCGCTTCAGGGCCGCGGCAGGGGCCGCGGCAGGCCGCGTCAGGGCCGCGTCAGGGGCCGCGGCAGGGCCGTGTCAGGGCGCCGCCAGGGGCCGCGTCAGGCCGCGTCAGGGCCGCGTCAGGGCGCCACCAGGGGGCGCGTCAGGGGCCGCGATAGGGCGCCGGCAGGGGCCTCGTCAGGGCGCCGCCAGGGGCCGCATAGGGGGCGCGTGGGAGGCGGCGTAGGGGCCGCGTAGGGGCAGCGTAGGGGCCGCTAAAAAAAAAAATTAGGGCAGGGCGCAATGTGCGCGGGCAGCTAAAAAAAAAAAAAAACTTATGGTGGGCCCTTAGGAAGGAACGGTCCCATGTAGGAACCCGCTCTATACCATGTGAATCAAGAAAACAGGAATGAAATGACTAAGTGAAAGTTGGGTACAAAAGGCAAACCCTAGGCAACTGTACCCCATATGTGCTACCCCACTATAGCCTACAGTAGCTATGTCATATAACTTTGACAGCTGCCGCGGTCGGTGGTGGCTGGCGGGTGGGTGCCGCGGTCGGTGGTGGCTCTCGGTTTGGTGCCTCTGTTGGTGGGGTGACTCCCGGGACCGCAGCTCTCAGAACAATGTTGCCAAAGTTAAAGCACGCAGCTGTTCCTCGCCATCCGCTAGGCACGACTATCGGTGAAGATCGTCGAAGTGGAGGTGGCTCCGGCTGGGAAAAGTATGGTGCGGTTGTTCCTGCATGATGGGCTGCAATAGGGACACGGAAAAGGACATTATGGCTGTGTGTTCTGCGGTACCAAATGAGCAGTACCCTATCAATTTAAGACGTCGTCTCATGTATGAGACCTTTACACAAATATGTAGAGATTACATCGTGGATGTAGTCATTACTACCACACATATCATGGTACTAAAGAACGGAGGGGCGCATTGACAAACCGTTGTTCAAACGAACATGTTGCAGCAGATGGGTCGTACGGAGTGGATGGTGACGGCGTTGCGGATGGTCCTTCAGTAGTGGCCAGGCGAGGGGTTGCAGAGGGCCTCGGCACAGCGGTTGGGCTTGGCGCTGCGGATGAGGCTGGTGCAGCGGAAGGGTGGGTCGCAGAAGCGTGTGACGGTGTTGCGGATGGGCGCGGCGCTGCGGACGGCCCTGGCGCTGCCGATGGGCATGCCGATTCGGATGATGCAGGTGCCCCGGATGTGTGTGTAGCTGAATTGGGTGTCGGTGCTGTGGACGGGCGGGGCGCTGCGGACGGCCCTGGCGCTGCAGATGGGCTGGGCGCTGCGGACGATGCATGTGCAGCGGCTGGGCGGGTCGCAGCAGCGGGTGACGGTGCTGTGGACGGGCGGGGCGCTGCGGACGGCCCTGGCGCTGCAGATGGGCTCGGCGCGGCGGATGATGCATGCGCAGCGGATGGGCGGGTCGCAGCAGCGGGCGACGGTGCTGTGGACGGGCGGGGCGCTGCGGACGGCCCTGGCGCTGCAGATGGGCTCGGTGCTGCGGATGATGCATGTGCAGCGGATGGGCGGGTCGCAGCAGCGGGTGACGGTGATGGGGACGGGCGGGGCGCTGCGGACGGCCCTGGCGCTGCAGATGGGCCGGGCGCTGCGGATGATGCAGGTGCCGCGGACGGGCGGGCCGCAGCAGCGGGTGACGGTGCCGCGGAGTGGCGGGGCGCTGTTGAATGCCTAGCCGCTGCGGCATTCGGAGGTGGGCGTCCTGCGCCGCCCTGTCTCTGTCGGCGGCCGCGTCGCTGCGACTGTGCTTGGCGAGCACGCCGCCGTGCTTCAGCCGCTTCGGCCGCAATGTTGTTGGCGGTCGCACGCGTCCGGCGTGTTTGCTGAACGTTGCGTCGGCGAATACGAAGGCCAGCTGGTGGAGTGGGGTGAGAGAGCGCGTGAGGGAGTGCGTCAGAGAGCGCGTAAGAGAGCGCATGGGAGTGCGCGTGAGAGAGCGCGTGGGAGTGCGCGAGAAAGAGGGCGTGACAGAGGGAATGCGCAAGAGAGTGCGCGAGAGAGAGCACGTGAGGGAGTGCGTGAGAGCCCGTGAGAGAGCGCGTGAGAGAGCGCGTGAGAGAGTGCGTGAGAGAGTACGTGAGAGAGCACGTGAGAGAGCGCGTGTCAGAGAGCGCGTGAGAGAGTGGGTGAGAGAGTGCGTGAGAGAGCGCGTGAGAGAGCGCGTGAAGGACCGCGTAAGAGATTGCATCAAAAAGCGCGTGAGAGAGCGCGTGAGAGTGTGCGAGAGAGTGAGCATGAGAGAGCGCATGAGAGAGAGAATGCGCAAGAGAGTGCGCGAGAGGGAGTGCGACGGAATGCGTGAGAGCCCGTGAGAGATTGCGTGAGAGAGCATGTGAGAGAGCGCGTGAGAGTGCGCGTGAGAGAGCGCGTGAGAGGGCGAGTGAGAGTGCGAGCGAGAGAGCGCGTGAGAGAGCGCGCAAGAGAGCGCTCGAGAGAGCGCGTGAGAGAGAGAGAGAGAATGCGCGAGAGAGTGCGCGTGAGGGAGCGCGTGAGGGATCGCGTGAGAGAGTGCGTGAGAGAGCGTGAGAGAGCGTGTGCGAGAGTGCGTCAGAGAGCGCAGGAGAGAGCGCGTGAGAGCGCGCGTGAGAGAGCGCGTGAGAGTGCGCGTAAAAGCGCGCGTGAGAGAGCGCATGAGAGAGCGCGTGAGAGAGCGCGTGAGAGAACGCGTGAGAGAGCGCGTGAGAGAGTGCGTGAGTGAGCGAGTGAGAGTGCTTGAGTGTGCGCATGAGAGACCACGTCAGAGAGTGTCAGAGAGCGCGTGAGAGTTCGTGTGAGAGAGCGCGTGAGAGTCCGTGTGAGAGAGCGCGTAAGCGAGCGTGAGAGGGCGCGTGTGAGAGTTGACTTCTCTGTTTTTGCTTGTGCAGGGCGCGTGTTGACGTCTCTGTTTTTGCTTTGTGCAGGGCGCGTGTGTGCTAACTTCTCTGATTTTGCTTTGTGCAGGGCGCGTGTGTGTTGACTTCTCTGATTTTGCTTTGTGCAGGGCGTGTGTGTGTTAACTTCTCTGGTTTTGCTTTGTGCAGGGCGTGTGTGTGTTGACTTCCCTGATTTTGCTTTGTGCAGGGCGCATGAGCTGAGAAGGGAGATGAGGGAGGGAGTGGGATGGAGATGAGGGAAGGAGGGAGGGAGGGTTGTAGGGAGGGGAAGGTGGGATAGGCCAGCAATCATTTCTGCATTTCTGAATTTTATTCATGACGGTTGTGTCTTTATTACGGTCTCTGTATCTATCTGTGCTTGTTTGCGTGTGTGTTAGTGTGTGTTGTACATGTGCTTATGCGTGTATGTACCGTACGTGCGCGTGTGCGCCTATGTGAGATATGTGTGTGTGTTTGTTTGCACCTGTCTGTCTCGAGGCGTGTGCTAAATTGCCTTGTATATGCAAGTGATGTGTGATGTTAAAGTGCGTCGGATCTGCATTTGAGGTGGGGATCGTTGTTGGGGCAGCGTTGCTCGCCTTAGCATACCGGAACCACCTCTGCTGTAGCACCGATGCATTTTAGCATTCACCCACAGTTGTTTGTGTTGTTTTTGCACGTGTTATGCAACTGAGGTGTGATGTTAAAGTGTGTCGGGTCTGCATTTGAGGTGGGGATCGTTGTTGGGGCAGCGTTGCTCGCCTTAGCATACCGGAACCATCTCTGTTGTAGCATCCATGCGTTTTAGCATTCGCTCTTAGTTGTTATATGTTGTTTTTGCACGTGATCAATGGATGCGCAGCACATGATTTGCGTTCACGCCCAGTGGATGTTTCTCGTCAATTGTGTTTCGTGACGACCGATTGTTCCATTCGCCGTATTTATCGACGATTATGGAATGAAAGGTTACATTTGGTTTCATTTTTGGGGGACTTTGTGTAAGTGCTTTCGTCATGTCCACAACGTTGGAGCACTCGTTTTGAAAACGTTAGAACGAGGGCTTTAAACGTTGGGAAAATGACAAAAACTGCACTGTTCATTCGAGTCGACCGAAAAGTGCTACCAAATGTATAGGGTTGCTACGCAACCCAAAAAGCCATGATACTGGGGTTGTTGGCAGGACGCACCTGAGTGCAAGAATATCGAACGGCGATTGGGAACTGCTTGGTACTCTTGGTGTTGGATCCACTGTTCACATTCAAGTGTCCAAACCTTTCTGCAGTGGTGTCCCAAACCTGCCAAACAATTCAGGCAGTAAAAAAACATAGATTGGGAAACTTCTGGCTCATTTCTTCTTAACAACAGTCTGCTGTGATTTGTTTCGTCTATTGCATAAAACAAGATAACGAACCAGACATACCTTCGAGGAGCAGAAAGGGCAGGACTCGTTTTCCATGAAGGAACGACCAGTATGTGAACGATCCAACCTGATGGCAAGGAAAAGGATATTGTGAGAATATCGACGCAGCAACAACCCTTCTTCAGATAAGAATTTCTGAATTGTGGTTTCTTTAGTATAGTATCTAGCAAACAACAGACGGCAATCGACCAGAAGCTATCGTTTTAAGGACCTTCTTTCGATCCAGGAGGTTCAAGTCCCTTCAAGTCACAAGGCCCCCCAGACCTGATATCTGATTGACAGGCTTGCTGGTTGGTGTACAAACCAACCACGCCTGCCATCCCCAAACCCCAGTTCTCTCACGCCCCTCCCTCCTCCCCTGCCATTACCCGCGGTACCCCTGCACCTACCTGCCAGCCTAGCCCTCCAAGTAGCCTTGCCTAGTCCTCAATAGAATTGCACGGCTTACCATGTTTGCTCTACCTACCATTTCATTCAGTGAACAAGACTGTTCTTGAGAAAGCTGATGATAACGCAGCAGAGCACTTGACAGGAGTAGCATCAACAGGAAGCGCGAGTAGAAGCGGTGGCCTTACCAGTCAAGATTGGTGCCAAGATAAAGCTTTTGTTTAAGATCCAAATCATCGGTTTGGTCCAGTGCGTCTCGATGACAGTAGCACCAAATGGTCAGGGAAATGCCATCGAAAGAGATTAAACTTGAATCCAGCCCATGCACGCGCATGTGCGGCTTATCACTGGCACGCTCCTGCTCGTCCTCGCCAACTCGCCACCCCCTCATCACGCCTGGGCACCAGTGGATAAGTCGCGCGAGGACTCTAAAGTCGACCTCATCCATCCCCTCCAGCATGAGCCTCATGCGCCTCGTCACCGTTCGAATTCTCAACCCGAAGTTGGTCTTCAAAAAGCTCTGAAAGCCTTTTCCGGCAGTGCAGCTGCCACAGAGACTCCTTCGCCATGCGGTTAAGTGCTTTCGACAGGCACGTCATCTGTGCTAGTAGTACATGAGGCACTGTTGGCTCGGCGCGGCGTAGGATGGAGTAAAGGAGATCACCGGGAAGCGTGTCCATGGCGGACCAAACCTAGCGGACCACGTAAGAGATGGGACTGAAGGGTGGCGAATGTAGAGCAACCAACACGCAAATGTTGGATCTACGATTGACGCGAGTCGGAATGACGAGCGGCTACTATGTCGCGGTGGTGCGTTCTATGGTGTGACGGAGTTGTGGATGCCAGCGACGGTCTAATAGGTGTAAGGTGAGCAGGAAAGTGGCAAAATAGTGTGCATTGGTTAGGTAAATCCACGAGCCACTGTGGGACGTTCGGAATCAGCTATATATATCTTTCCGTGCCTCGCCGTACTGACGTGGTTCGAATGTCATCGAGGTGACAACGGGATTGCCATGTTGTGAGAGGGCTGGCAGACTGTGGGGGTACAGAAAGTTGTGAGGCGGGAAACCTAACCTCGAGACTACTTCCATTGTTATTTCGTAAATTCGATCGAAATGACAACGGCTTCGCCTCATCGTGAGGTGGGCTGAGAGTTTTTAGGGCTGCGGAAAGCTTTGAGGCGGGAAAGCCAATCTCGGTGTGGCTTCCGTTGTTGGCCTTTGGAATGACGACCACAGCTAGCGCGACCATTTGAGGAAGTGTGACTGGACTTGGGAGCGCAGGGAAGGAGAAGCCTAGGGAATTGAAGATGGGAACTAGGGGAACCACTACGCTCTTCTGATGTTTGTTCAGACAGTGCGGTTCGGTTGGATATCTCACTTTACAATACGGTTCCACAAACCCTCAGGCTGGATTGGTCAACTAATGTAGTGCTGGGAACTGGAAGCACAGAGCAGGTCCTCCGAGGAAAATGGTGGAATACAGACGTTTTAGTACGATGGTGCGCGATTTAGAGCAGTTTCTTGGCATACCTTTTTGGTGAGGGTGTTGAACTTATGAACGACTTTCGCCAATATTGTTTCGCGAGATCGTTCGTTGGTCGAAAGGACTGTATGACCCGCCCTGTTCGTGAGTTATTGATAATTTATCTTTCTCGCATGATAAGTTCAAGTCCGACGATCTAGTCTTAGTAAGTCGAATTGCCAAACCTGCTCACACAGCGCATCACACGAGTAGTAGTAGTAGATACCTTGAAAGAAAGAAGCGACGGATATCGCGCGTCGTGACGATGCTGGCGGCGTTCGCAGCGGAGGTCATCGTCTTCCACTCCTCCGAGTTCTGAAGCGTCTCAAAAGTCTCAAGGGCCTGTGAAGCAAGCGTCGCGTCACATTCGAGTTGTAATAGTAAAATCATCGAAGGGAACAAACGAGCGATCGCGTCGTCTAGTATAGTAAGAACCTCGGGGGAAACAAGCGAGCAATCGCACGAGGACTCTTCACGATGCTGGCGGCGTTCCTCGCGGCGCTCGTCTTCTTCCATTCCTCCGAGTTCCTCCTCGCGCTCTGGTCCACCGGCAAACCCGACCTCCGATGTACGCCGCCGCGCCTCGCCTCGCCTTCCCCTCGCCTCCCCTTCCCTCGCCTCGCCGCCTCGCATCGCATTCCCCTCGCCTCGCCTCGCCTCGCCTTTCCATCGCTTCGCCTCGCCTTCCCCTTGCCTCGCCTCGCCTTCCCCTTGCCTCGCCTCGCCTCGCCTCGCCTCGCCTCGCCTCGCCTCGCCTTTCCCTCGCCTCGCCTCGCCTCGCCTCGCCTTCCCGCCTTCCTCTCGCCTCGCCTCGCCTCGCCTCGCCTTCTCCTCGCCTCGCTTCGCCTTCCCGTCTCGTCTCGCTTGCAGTCCTCTCTCCTCCGCGTCTCTAGCAAGGGCGTGACTGCGCCGCTGATTGCGGCACTGATGGTGGCGCTGTGTTGATACTTGAATGCGCCTCCACTCTCCCATCCCTCCATCCTTACCCATCCCCTCCCTCCAGCGCTCCAGCCATCTTTCCCTTCACGACGTTGCAATGCCTCTCCCCTCCCCCATCAATCCCGCCAGTTTCATCTTTCCCTTCCTTTTCCACTCCTTATCTCCCGGCCGCCCACCCTCATCCTGCTGCTCCCTTCCCCTCCCCACCGCCCTGCCCCTTTCTGTGGCCCGTGGCGCTTTTGAAGGTGGTGTGTCTGGAATTCTCAGAACCCGCCTGTTGTGAAGCCCCGCTGGTCGTGGGGGTGGTGCTGCTGCTGGCGGTCTGTTCAGATTTTGCTTTCCCTCCCTCCCCACACACTCTCCCCCCACTCCCATCCCAATCCACCACTCCCCACCTCCCGCTAGCCATGCAGCCTTCCTCTTTTCGCGGAAGCATCTCTTCGCCATGGCAGCAGCACGCACTGAGTATTTTCTCGATGCCACCTTCTTCCCATCCTTGTGTGGTGTCTGTTCAGTGTTCGCTTTCCCTCCCTCTCCCCACACCACACCCCATCCCTCTCCACCGCACCCCACCCCGCTAGCTAGCCATGCAGCCTTCTCTTCTCAGCGGGAGTATCTCCTCGCCATGTCAGCAGCGCTCACTGAACACGCCCTCGAAACCACCTCAAGCGCCGTCTGTGGCCCGTGGCGTGGGTGGGAGGGGCGCTGGTGGTGGCGGTGTGGGGGGTGGTGTTTGTGGTTACGGTCACATAGAATTTCGTTTTTCCTCCCTCCCCACACACCTCTTCCCCCACTCCCATCCCGCACCCCACCCCCGCTAGCCATGCAGCGTTCCTCTTGTCGCGGGAGTATCTGCTGGCCATGGCAGCAGCGCTCACTGAATACGCCCTCGAGACCGCCCTCTTCCCCGCCTTCAAGCGCCGCCTGTGGCCCGTGGCGTGGGTGGGGGGGGCGCTGCTGCTGGCGGGGGAAGCGGTGCGCAAGGCAGCCATGGTGACGGCGGGGCGGAGCTTCACTCATGATATTCAGACGGAGAAGAGGCGCGAGCACCGATTGGTCACTCACGGGCTGTACAGGTGGGCGCTGGTTTGTGCCGACTATGTCTCTTGTGTGTTCTGGTGAATGCCTTCCTGTGGTGGGAACAAAGGCAGCGACGGTGACGGCAGGGCGGGGCTTCACACACGGCATTCAGACGGAGAAGAGGCGTGAGCACCGGCTCTACAGGTGGGCGCTGGCGGGGTGATTGGGTGATTGAGTGGCCAGTAATGCGTGTGTGTGCTGATGTGTCGGCCCAGACGCACAAGTGGCGCAACCAATGCCTCGTGACACACGGGCAGTTCAGACGACAGCTGGCAGTACAGATGACAGCTGGCAGTACAGATGACAGCTGGCAGTACAGGTGGCAGGTCGCAGTACAGGTGACAGCTGGGCGGGTGCTCTTGTTTGTTCCAACGCCAATGCCGGAGTTCTTGGGGGTCTTTATGGGAGCTCAGGCTAGACTAGACTCGGAAGGAAGCAGTTTTAACTACTGGGAGGAATCTCGCACTTGCTGGGTCTTCATATGCGTGTTTCAGCCACAGTGTTGTTTGCATGAGCGTGTTGCTGTGCTCTCCCCTCCCCCACCTGCACTGCCTGCACTTGCGCCCACCCACCCACCCATTGCGCTCGCCACGGTCCCATAGCGCCATCCATCCAGGCTATATGGGGTGGTTCCTGTGGGCCATGATGTTGATGCAACGCAACTATCCCATGCGCTACCCATGCCCTCCCCCATGCCCTCCTCCATGCCCATGGTCCCGTGGCAGGTGGGTGCGCCACCCAGGGTACATGGGGTGGTTCATCTCGAGCATCGCCACGCAGCTGCTGCATATGACCTCTCCGCCTGTGCTGGATGTCATGTTACCATGTTCCCCACATGCCCATGGGCCCACCGTTGTGCCCTCCCCATGTGTTCATTTGACTATGTCCCCACATGCCCATGGCTGGCAGGTGGGTGCGCCATCCGGGCTGCACAGGGTGGTTCATCGGGACCATGGCCACACAGCTGCTTTTAAGAATTCTCAATTCCGGCCATCCCGTGCGCTACCCATGTTCCCCACATTCCCATTTTAGGTGGGTGCACCATCCGGGCTACACGGGGTGCTCCATCTGGAGCAGCGTCGCCACGCAGCCGCATCCAGTTTGCTGGAGTATTCATGTGGATATGGGCTCAGCCGCTCAGCTCATGCCTGGGTGTTGAGATGCCTGCTTGCATGGGCGTGTCACTGTGGCTCCTCTGACTGCACCGCCAGCACTGCATGCATGTGTGACTAGACATGATCACGAGTCAAGTCGAGTCGAGTCACCTCGATTCGCGGTCGAGTCGGGAGTTGCGTCGAGTCGAATCGAGTCGAGCCATAGTCGAGTTAGTTTTCCGAAATTGCAGACTCGTGCTCGACTTTTGAAGTCGAGTCAGGCCTTGACTCGAGCACGAGTCATAAACTCGCTAGTCAGTCTTGACTCGACTTTACCTTTAAGAGTTTTCAAGGGCCCCAATAGTGTGATTCGTAGCCTGCATGCAAGGTAGGAATGACGAAATTCCGTTTCTTCCCCTTCCGCACAGGTAAATCGATGCGCACCCGAAATTGAGTGACGGGGGGGATTGGGTGACGGGGGAATTTGCATGACAGGCGGAAATTGGGTGTCGGGGAAATTTGCGGATAGGCGGAAATTGGGTGTCGGGGGAATTTTGCGTGACAGGCGGAAATTGAGTGTCGGGGGAATTTGCGTGACAGGCGGAAATTGAGTGTCGGGGGAATTTGCGTGACAGGCGGAAATTGAGTGTCGGGGGGGGATTTGCGTGTCGAGCGGAAATCGTGAGTGATGGTCGGAGATTCAGTGACGAGGGAAATTGCATGAGGAAAGGAGGGGGGATTGACAACGGGAACCCACGTGGATAAAATTGGTGGCCCTCGAGTCAGCCGACTCGCCGACTCGTGGCTCACCAGACAGTCCAAAGTCGAGTCAGGCGATGCATCGAGATTTCTCCTCAATTCGACTCGACTCGACTCTACTCGAGTTTGGAAAATAAAATATCTGACTCGACTCGACCTAAAGTCGAGTCGAGCCAGCGAGTCGAGCTAAAACTCGCCTCGATTGATCATGTCTATGTGTGACCATCCCATGCCCTCTACCCGTCTTCCCCATACAACACGGCGTGGTTCGCTTGGAGCATTGCCACACAGCTGCTGGATGTGACCACTCCGCCTTTGCCCTCCCCACATGCTCATGTCCCCATCTAGCCATGTCCATGTTCCCCACATGCCACATGCCCATGGCAGGTGGGTGCGCCATTCGCGCTACACGGGGTGGTTCGCGTGGAGCAAAGCTGCTTTAGGAAATTCTCAAATGCGACCTCCCATGCCCTCTACCCATGTCCCCCACATGCCCATGGCAGGTGGGTGAGCCATCCGGGCTATACGGGGTGGTTCATCTGGAGCACAGCCACGCAACTGCTGCCCATGTTCACATGCCCACATGCGATCCCATGCGCTTCTAACCCCGCCTGTGTCCCCAACATGCCCTTGTGCTCATTTCATGTGCCCATGTTCCCCACAATCTTATTTCAGGTGGGTGCGGCATCCGGGCTACACGGGGTGGTTCATGTGGAGCATAGCCACGCAGCTGCTGCTCGTCAACCCCCTCTGCACGCTCGCCTTCGCCCTCGTCTCCTGGCGCTTCTTCGCCGTGCGCATCCCGTGAGTACCCTGTGGTCACAGAGGGCATTTCGTAAGTTACCCCCTTGCTTGCACAAGCATCCCGTGAGTTACCCCCTTGCTTCCGCAGGCATCCCGTGAGTTACCCTGTGTGTGGTAGTGGCATTCCTCGAGTTACCCTGTAGTTGCAGAGGTACCAGGGGTGGGAGCTGCAGTATTGTAAAGCACCCTCGTCTACAGGTGCTTCGTTGTGAGTGGTGGGAGATGTGAGGGTGCATTGGCGATGGCACTGATTCATCTTGGATTGACTTTAGAATTCTCGAAAGTGTCACGATTGTAATCTTGGCGTAGGTACCTTAGATATACACTCGAGACAGATAATAGAAATGGAGAAGGTTGTAGATAGGATATAGGCAAGATAGGGCAAAAGCCGAACCAAACCAACGCAAACCAGAAATCGGCGGGCGAGAAGTGGTAGGCGAAGAGAGACCGTTGACACAACGGTAACCCGCAGCTAGTACTTAAGAGAGTAGACAAGCTCAGTGAGATGCTTGCGTGATTGTTTCCACACTTATGCTTATAATTCTCTACGTTTCCTAAACTGGACTAAGCACGAGGAACCAACATTCGCAAGCTGTCACTAACCAATTCTCCCGTGGTTTCAGTCAGCCGAATTAGGGTTTGAAGACCCCTTGGGCTCGGACAGGAGACTTTTCAACAATCACGCAAGGATACTGATGAACAGTCGAGATTTAGTACGGACTCGTATGTGGGACGACGCTGGCGAACCTAAGCCTACAGCAGGGTGGCGTGCCGACGCTGCTGCTGCGAGAGAACCTATAGGTACGGCGCCCGTGGGAACCGGGTCTTTCAAATACCGGACGCCTCAACAACGAGCTCGCGCGGCAGGAGATAACATGAACCCAGAGCGAACCGCCCGCTCGGACCCAGGAGATACGTCTCACGACTCTCGATGGACCGAACGTGTACAAGCGCGGTGGAGGAACCAGGAGGACCCGACTCCGCAGAGCGGGAAGCCGGGCATGGCGGCAAAGAGGGAAGAACCCGTCATGCGCGGAGTACATACCGGCAACCGGACGGAGGAGCCACTGCGGGAAGGGACTCTGGTGTACAACGGAGTCACCGAGGTACCGGGGGACACGTATGAAGCACCCGAAGGCCGAGGAGTACGTTGGAAAGCGACGAACCTCCCGAAGGTGGAGGTAGCAGAACGGTACACGGGCATTCCCGGGGTAGGGCCGAGTCTGAAGAACTACCTCATGCAGCTCGAAACCGTGCAGTACTGTTGGGAGCACGACGGATTCGACCCGGCCGAATTCTTCCGCAAAATGGTGGGAACCTTGGCGGGAGAAGCGGAGACGTTCTACCGCATGACTCGCGACGAAGTCCTGGAAGAACTGGCGGAGGGAGAAATCTCCAACCCTACGGCACGGTTCCTTCAACTGCTGCGAAAGGAGTTCGCCGGACAGTCCAAGGCCCGCGTGGAAGAGTTTCGCGAATTCCGGAGGAAGAGAGATGAGTCGTTGCTGGCCTACTACTGTCGGCTCCGGGAACTTGTGGAACATCTGGAAAGCTAGGACGAACGCCTGCTCGTGCGGAAGTTCGTGCGAGGGCTGGAAGAAGAGCTAAGGGGAGTGGTGCGGAGCACTGTTTACAGTGTGGGCGCAGACATCACTCTTAAGGAAGTATACCTGCTGACGAAGAGGACGGAACAAGCCCAACGTTTGCTGAATCTGGACGATTCTGACGGAAAGGGTCGCGCGAGGACGAGCTGGGCCGCCGCGGCAGTACCAGAGACCCCCCCGAGTAACGGCAGCCGGACAGACCCTCGGCTGTGTCACACTTGCGGAGAGCTTGGGCATCTGAAGCGCGACTGCCCCAAGGCGCCGACCTGTGAGCAGTGCGGGAAGCGGGGACATTGGAAAGAGGAATGCTACAGTCGGCCGAGAGAATCGCTGGGAGCCACCAGGGAGGAGCTCCAAGCTGAAGTCCGACGTCTCCAATTGCGGCTGGAGCAATTACCCCAATCGAAGGAAGTGAAAGCGCGAGCGCTGCTGGCGTACGAAGAGATTGACGAGGCCGAAGGGGAGGGAGAGGAGGACTACCAGCGGGAATACGCGGTAATGGCATACCCACGAGCGCGAGATGACATCCGACTCCGACCAAGGCCTAGCCAGTCTCAGGATAGCGGAGTGACGAGCGGGATCCGCCCACGGCCTAGCCAGGCGGAAGAGACGAGACCTCCGGGCATGCGGAGGCATCCGAATGAGCGACTGGTCTGTCAAGCGTCAGTGCTGATCGCGGAGAAAGCCAGCCTTACGGTGGGAGGCCTACCCGTGAAGCAAGCCATCATTGACACCGGCGCGCACCACGTCTTGATAGGAAAGGGACTCGCCAAGCAGCTGAAACTAGACGTGGCCGGACGAACCCTTGAGAGAGGGATTCTACTCATGACCGCGGAGGGCGGAGAACCCAAGTGGATGCCGAAAACGAGGCGGTCGGTGGAAGTGGTGCTTTTACCAGGGACGGAGAAGGAGTGTTGTATCCGGTTGCAGTGCGGAGTCTCGGAATCCGAAGACTATGACGTCCTCGTTGGGATGGAACTCCTCGTGTGGGAGCCACAATCTGCACCTGGCAGGAGAAGGTGCTGTTCCGGGCGCAGTACTGGGACCCGGAGAGTTCAGTGGGCACATTGCCAGTGCGATTCGTTCGGCAGGAGCCGTGGGAGGCGTACCAGGCCCAGAAGCAGGACTTGACCGAGGAGCTGGAGGAATGGCATTGGGAGAGGTACGGGGATGAGTACGAACGACGGGTGGAAGATCGGACTCTGGGGCAGGGCGCACCAGACCTGGCGGAAAGTGTCAGTCGAGTATGGGCACTAGACGGACCCATCCGGATACTGGAGCTATATGGGGGGATCGGGACCGGCTTGGCCGCAGCGTTAAGGGCGGGGTGCACGATCAAGCGGTGGATCCACATAGAGCGCGATCCAGTGGTGAGGAAGATGGCTCGGCACCATGACATGTTGCTAAGAGACGAGTACCCGGATCAGATGTGGGAAGACGCTATTCTGCGAGAAGACGAGCCAGAAATACACGACGTCAGGGAGATCTCCGAGCGGGTGCTAGAGGACTGGGGGCAACTGGACCTGGTCATCGCGGGATGGGAATGCCAAGGGTACTCCAGAGCCGGGGAAGGGCTGGGGATGGAAGATGTGAGGGGCGCGTCGTTCCGTGACCTCAAACGAGTGTTGGAGATGATTCAGCAGCGCCAAGGGGAGGTCGCTTTCGTCTTGGAGAACGTGGACTTGGCCGAGGATCGGAGAGAACCCGTGAAACGGGCGTTCGAAGAGATAGCGGGGGTTCTGGGGAGAGGAGTACCTGTTGACACGGCACAGCTGGGTTCACGCGCACACAGACTACGGAGGTACTGGCAGAACGTGCTCTCTACGGCAGCGCTACGGCATTCGCTGGCGTTGATGCAACTACCAGAGCCACGCCTAGTGAGTGACATCTTGGAGCCGAACCGCCTGCCTGTGCCCGTGACTAGCCCGGACCACCCCACGCAGTACCAGTGCAACGAGCCGTGCAAACCCCGGCAGGCACTGCCCACGTTAGTGTCTTACGCGGAAGCCCGCGGGTTCGTCATGGAGGGGGATCTGCCAGGACCCGGGATGATCTATGACGTGCGGAGGGGAATCTGGGAACAGCCGACGGCGAACGAGCGTGAAGCAGCCATGGGACACCTGTGGGGAGCCACCGCACAACCCGAGGTGACGGAGTAGCAGAGACGCGCCGCTCTGGGCCGTGCCATGGACGCGAACGTGATGACATGGCTGTTGGATACCATGCGGATGCACCTGAAGTCGAAGGAGCTACAGAGGGAAATCGCGTTCAGCAAGCAGAACCGAGACCGGGACTCAGCAGAATGGCACAGGAAAACGCTGGCTAGGATAGAGGAGCGATACGAGGAGAGGATAGATGAAGGATGGGCCGCGTACATGGCTATGGAAAGGATGGAAGGAGAGAACGGAGGAGATGCGGAAACCGAGGGGGAGAAGGCAGCACAGGGAGACCAAGGGCTAGTGGAGGACTGGGTGTTCGGAGGAGGGATGGACCTGGTATCAGCGGCAGCTTTGCAAGAGGTGCTGAAGCAACACCGCGGAACTTTCGCGTACACCCTGCAGGAGCTGGGGAAGTGCACGACGCACAAAATGAAGATCGAGCTCACCACGGATGTCCCGATATACCAGCGGAAACGGCGGATGAGCCCAGGAGACCTAGAGATCTGCACGGAGAAATGCAACGAGCTGCTGGAAGCAGGGCTGATTCAGCGATCAGAGAGCGACTATGCCGCAGCGACGGTCGTGGCTTCCAGGAAAGATCTCGCTGGGGCCGTGTCCGCGAGGAGGATGTGCGGGGTTTACAGGAGCCTGAATAAGGTCACGGTGGCCGACCGATACCCCATGCAGTCAGCGGAAGAGATTTTTGATAAGCTGCAGGGGACGAAGATGTTCTCCACCCTGGACTTAAGCCAGGGATTCAATCAGATCCCTATACGGGTGGCCGACCGCAAGAAAACAGCGTTCCATGGGCCGGATTGCCTGTACGAATGGCGGTTTATGCCATTCGGAGCAAAGAATGCGCCGGCTCTGTTCCAGCGGATCATGGACACCATACTCCGACGAGTGCCGGCAGCAGCATGCTACATTGACGACGTAGTGATCTTCAGCCCAGACGCGGAGCAGCACGTGAAGGACGTGAAGGCTACGCTAGACGCTATTCGAGGGGCCGGACTCACCTGCCATCCAAAGAAGTGCAGTTTCGGGAACACCGGAGTGAAGTACCTGGGGTTTGAGGTTTAAGGAGGGCAGTTGGGAATTCAGCAAGCGAAGGTGGAGGTCCTAGACCGAGTCCCGCAGCCGAAGGACCGGAGCACGCTAAGGGCGGTGCTTGGGTTCCTTAATTACTACCGGAAGTTCATACCGAAATTCCGCAAAACGGCGGCGGCCTTAAATAGGC